CTGTAGCTTGGTTAAGGCTTGTGACTGGTTCAGCTGAAATCCCAGAACCCCAGGATGGTTTGGGTTGGAAAGGACCTTGAAGATTATTTCATTCCACCCCAAGGGACACCTTCCACTGTCCCAGGCTGCTCCAACCTGGGCTTGGGCACTGCCAGGGATCCAGGGGCAGCCCCAGCTGCTCTGGGCACCTGTGCCAGGGCCTGCCCACCCTGCCAGGGAACAATTCCTTCCCAATATCCCATCTAAATTTCCCCTCTTTAAGTCTGAGCCCATTCCCCTTGTCCTGGCACTCCAATTCCTGACACAAATCCTTCCCCACTTTCCCATCCAGACACTGGAAGGGGCTCTGAGGTCTCCACGCCCTTTTCCAGGCTGGGCAGTCCCAGCTCTTCCTACAGGACTGTTCCAGCCTCCCACAGCATTCTGCACATGTTGTTCCTGTTTTCCTGGCCTGTTGTGAGCTCCTGCCACGGCTTCGCACCAGCAACTGGGAATATTGAACAATTATTGGCAGCTTCATGGTTTAGCTGCTTTCCTTTCCTCCCCTGCTCTGGAGGTGCTGCTCCTCCACAGCTCCCTGGGGGCTTCTCTTGGCACTTTTACTCTGCTGATTTATTCCTGAATTGTTTTTTGCACCTTTAGGAGACACAGTTGATTTTTCTCTTTAATGCTACAATTTCACACTGCACTCTTAACTCCTCTAAGATCCTCTGATGGGGATTTTTCCAAAGCTTTTCCCTGCTCTGGAAGCTCAGGGGCTGCAGGGACTCTTGGTGCAGTGAATCTTCCCCAGTATTCCATATTTATTGGAATATTTTCCTGAGTGTTTGCCCAGCTCAGAGCCAGGCTGGACCATCCCTGGATTGAAGCATTCCTGCATTTCCCACCTCCAGCTCCTCTGGAACCACCTTTTCTTTTTTAATAATTCCTTCCTCTCTCCCAGTAAATGCCTCTTTGCCACATCCTTCAGCCTCCGGGGTGAATTCCAGGTGCTCCTTGGAATACTTTCAATTTCCCCATTTTGCTCCCCCACCTGCAAAGACTGCTGATTTGGGGATGGATCCTCTGCTCTGGGGGCTCCACAGCTGCTGAGGGGGGTTGGCAAAAAGGGTTTATTATTAGATTTATTAAGGTTTATTTTTAGATTTATTAGGGTTTAATATTAGATTTTTACACCTCCTCCAAAGAAGGGCTTGTCTCTGCTGTCACAGCTTTGTCTTCTCACACTGCTTCTCTCATTTTTCTCCTTTGAACATGACTTCCACGTTTTGAAGGATACTGTTTTACCTCTGACAGCCTCCTTTGGTCTGCTCTTTAATGAGAACTGCTAATTTTTTGCCCTTTTAAGGTCTCTTTTGATAATTGTATAGGTTTGCTCTCATCCTCTAATAGAAGATTTTTAAACAATGTCTGTGTCCCCTGGAAAAATGTCACCCTTTTGGTGGCTGCTTTTAATTTCTTTTTAACAAGCCTCTCCCCTTTTATGTGGAGAGCCTTTTTGAAATGAAGTTGTGATGAACTTTTGCAGGTTTATTTTTAAATTCCTACAATGTTACGGAGTTGAAGTACATCGAGACACTTTTATAGAGCAACCCTTCAACAACAGCAGTTAAAATTAGCCCTGTGGCCTGCCCAGGATTAAACCTGGCACCGCTTCTCCTGGCTGCCCCAAGGAGGAATTCTCTCCTGTGTTGTCTCTGTCCATTTTTTCCATGGAGTTTTTGGAATTCTCCCCAGTTTTGGGCTGGTTTGCACCCCCTGGGCCCCAGATTCTTATGGTTTAGAGTCACCTGGTCAGATGGGTGCTGATGGAGACTCAACATTTCACTTTGAATTTAAACTCACAGAGTGAGTTATTTTCTAATATTAATTGTTCATTAATTTTTCATTGCACTAATTAAAGCCCAGCCCTCTCCTACACTTGCCCACTGCTGCTTTCTGCCCTGGCTGTCATGGGTTGGGGTTTTGTCCTTCTGATTTCCACAGAAAACCCAAAAGCTGGGATAAAACCCCACTAGATCCCACACTGGACAAAAGGAACATCCAGGAAACCCCATTCCCTGGACAATTTCCCATTCCAGCTGGGACTGTTGCTCCTCAGAATGGACACGTCCAAGCTTTACCTGGATTTGTATGTAATGCCATGAGATAAATAAAATAAATCAATCTATGTGAGGAAACAACAACCAAATGACTCATTTTAGCAATGGAAAGTTTATACTGGTAATTACAAAGTTTAAAGAGAGCTCCTGACCTCCCTCATGCCCCAAAGCCCTTCCCAAGGAAGGTTATTCCAACATTTTCCACAGAGGAGCCAGGAATGTGTGACCACACACAGGAAGGTCGTGACAATCCAAGTACTTCCCCCTTTCCATGTTTTAGGCTGAGAATTGTTCCCAAGTCCCATCATTTCCTCGGAGGTTTTTATCAGCAGAAAAATGCCAGGAGCACTCAGCAAGGCAGGAGAGGAGGAAAGGGAAACCTGGGAGCAGCCACCTACCCTGGCTGGGGCTGCCTGAGAACATCTGGAAAGTGACTCTGCTCTCCTTAAAGACACTGGGAAAAGCCTTGCCCATGCCAAAAAAATCAGTCCCGAGGTTTGAGGTGGATGCACTGAGCTCTAAAAGAAAGGCAGGGCTGGTTTTGATCCTGTCCCACTGGATTCTCCTATTTCCTCATTGTTCTTTACAATCTGTTGTAAACTGATAGGAAGTCACTGCCCCATTTGTAAAAACCCCAAATCCTCAGCATCACCCTGTAATCAGTGGGGAGGCCTCTGCTTTCCCAGAGCTGCTGTGGCTGCCCCTGGATCCCTGGGAGTGTCCAAGGCCAGGCTGGATCACACAGGGACAGCAGGAGGTGTCCCTGCTCATGGCAGGGCTGGAAAGGGATGAGCTTTAATGTCCCTTCCCACTGTGATTTTGTCGTAAATCCAGGCTTACAAAACCCAGCAAATTTCACTCCAGGTGAGCACAGACAACATTTCCCAACATTTCCCTTTTCCCTGTTAAACCCCCAGCCTGTTTATTCATTCACAGCTGTCACAGTTTCATTTCCCCCTCGTTCTTGCCTCGAGCATCTCCTTTCCTGCCCTGCCTCTGGAGCTCCACACTGCCCTGTGGAATCACTGGGCAGCCACAGCCACATCTCCACCGTGTCTGCTCCATCCCCTCCTGGAGGCTCCCGAGGATTCTGTTTGCACTGCACAGGCTCAGACCCTGGGCTTTAGGGATAAGCCAGATTTTCTTCTGATTAAAGACTTCTGGAAGATTAAAGATACACAGCCAGGGCCCAAGTCAAAGCTGCAAAGCAAAGATCACTCTGCAACTTTGCGCTTGGCAATTTGATTATTTTTCTTTCAGTCCGTTCTCCTGCGTTTTTAAACACAGAAATTGGGAATGACAATCATCTGCCACAGAGCAGCACGGTGCCCAGCTCAGGAGCAGGGCTCAACACCGAGAGCCAGAGTGGAGTCAGAGCGATTCCCAGGGTTTTGGCACAGCCAGTCCAGCTCTGCTGGATGCTCTCCCACTCCCTACACAGCCCCAGGCTCCTGCTTCAGTCTGGCTTTGTTCTCTCTGCTCCACTTTCTCTTCCCCTGCCATTCCCAGCAATTGTCTCCATCCCACACAGACAAACCTCTCTCCATCCCACACAGACAAACCTCTCTCCATCCCACACAGACAAACCTCTCTCCATCCCACACAGACAAACCTCTCTCCATCGCTCTCCACGTCCTCTCCCTCAGCCTGGATGAAGCAGAGATGCCTCCATCTCCTCCAGCAGGATTTTCCCCCAATCCCAAGGGCAGAACAGGCTCTTCTGGTTGGACAAAGGGCAGGGGACACATGCAGTGTCCCCAGGGTGTGCAGAGGGGGCACAGAGCGGTGCCTGTGGGAGCCAGGCCATCTCTGGGCACAGCCTGGCACACCAGCAGCTGAACAGCACCGGGCAAACTCTGCCTCTCCCCCTCCTCCTCCTCCCCCCCATCCCACTTGTGCCCACTGAGCAGCATCTCCCCGTGTCACCACCCCAAAAAACCTTCTCCAGCCAAAAAAGGCTGTCCCCAAAATCCTTCTGCAGTGCCCAGTTTCTGTTTCTCTCACGGTAACACCCAGCCGGCCCTTGGCACGTGGGATGGTGCCCTCTGTCCTGCCAGCCTCAGGGGTGCCTGTGTGGGATGGTCTGAGGATCCCCTCTGCCATGGGGGCGTCAGGGATATCCAGGAGCCACCTGAGCCACGTCAGGCTGTCCTGAGCTGGAAAAGGACGAGCATGGAGCAGTCCAGACAGGCCTCCAGCTGGCCCAGCAGCTGCTCTGGGACCTGAATCCCACCCCTGGGAGCTCCTGGTGGCTTCGTGTGACCATGGAATGTCCTGTCCTGCTGTCACCGAGCTCATCAGCTGCTCCCACAGCCCTAAGAAAATCCACCCCATTTCCTCTGTGTCAGGAGCATTCCCAAAATGCTTTTGGAGCAAAAAGGGCGCGTTTTGTTTGACTCTGTGTTAGGTTACTTCCTCTCCCTCTGTAACGAAGATAGCTCAAAGCGACAGTCAAACAGAGAGGAAATAAAGGGAGTTATGAGGAGAAATAAAAAAGGGTTTATGATCACTTTTCCCACCCACCACGTCCTCGCTGGCTGCTCCTTCCTCCCAGCCCAGCTTCCAGCTGCCAATAACTCACGGAGCATTTCCAGCACCAGCCCTGGGCTGCTCATCTTCCATCCCCCTGCTCTGGCTGCACACTCCCAGCTCTGCTCGGCTTCTCCTGCACCTGAAGCCTGCTCCAGGTCTGGGTTTCCTCCTCCCAAGGGAAGGAGCCGGCTCCCTTCAGAGGCATCTCCTGACTCCGCCACTTTTATTGGAGAGACCTGCCACACACACACACGGAGATCAAACAGATGCTGTCTGTCACAGAGCTTAGAGCCTAATTACAGAAGATTACAGAAACTATTTATAAATATTTATACCCATTTAAATATATTTATAAACGTATCAGGATTGGATAAAAGTGTATATTGTTGTTTTAGCTTAAGACACAACCAAGTATCTTTTATACAATGCTCATACAATAATCATATATTTGTATTAAGCTGCTTTTTGACGAACATGGACAGCAGCTGTTAACATTTGAATTGCTGTTAATACAAAGTAGGTTGGCTGAGGAGGATGGGTGGATGCTCAGGAGTCTGGAGCAGCAGAGCAGGAATCTTCCCCTTCTGGATCCAGAAATCCGCTGCATTCATCCAGAAGGAGACTGGAAATACAGAAGAAGGTGATGGATCTTTTTTTCACCCTCAGTTTGCTGGTTTATTTTGGCAGATTAGAGCCTTGCCTCATCTCTCACCTGGGGGAATTTTTCCACACAGTTCCTGGTGCTGCTCTTCCCACTGGAATCCTCTATCTGGGAGCAGCACTCAGCAGGTGGAATACCTGAGTCACACCAGGGGAACACCTGAATCACACTTTGCTGTCACCCACAGGTCCCCCAGCCTCCCAACTCCCCGTTTTGGGGCTCCCTTTGGCCCCCAGGAGGCTCCATGGCACCTCCAGGCCTGTGCTGCTCTCTGTGCAGCTCAGGATGCTCAGGAAAGGCTCCAGCAAAAACACTTGGAAGATCCCCTGTGATTTCTTCTTTCCTTCCATTCAGCCTCCTGAGGCAGACCATGTGTGTGCTATCCAGAGGTGTGCTGGGCATCTTGGGTCACAGCTGGCAGAGGCTGTGCTCCCTGATCCAGGTGTGTCCAGGAGGGTTGGGAGATGAAGGCTGTGCTCCCTGATCCAGGTGTGTCCAGGAGGGTTGGGAGATGAACCTTTCAGTGTGTTCTTGTGGAAAACACGACTCAAACCTCGCCCTCGGCACCCAGGAGCAGCCAGTTAGCCAGGGGGATGTGGGCTGGGGGGCCTGGCCAGAGCTCTGGAACTGCCCTGATGTGGGAATCTGGAGGAGGACGCGGATGGAAGTGCAGGAGGAAGCAGCCAAGTGAAATTTGGGAAGTGCTGGAGAAAAGGCAGCTTGGAGCTGCAGCAGGGAGCTCTTGGTGTGAGCTGCCCCTCGGTGCCCATCCTGAGGAGGATCCAGGTGGGCTCTGAGCAGCTCAGACACTGCTCTCCATCCCAGGGATGCTGCTGGGAGGGGGATCCAGCCCAGCCCTGCCTCTTCCCAAACACCTTTCCCCCCCTCCCAGCAGAGACCAAAGCAGGGAGCTCGCTCTGTGTTCGCAGCAGGGCGTTTTTTGAGCAGGACAATCCCTTGGTCAGGCATCAAACAGCAGCGTGTGAACCATCTGCTTCTTGGACTCCTACACCCCGAGAAAAGCTGCTGGATTGGAAAAAGGATATTAATCTGAAAAGCACACAACAAAGCAACTGCAGGGTGTTTCCCCCTCCCAGCCAGAGCGAGCGAGGGAAAGCTGATTACCATGACACACAGGAGCCCTGATCTAATATTCCACTTCAAGATTTGCAAATAATGTGCCCATTAACATTCATTAGCTCTTTAAATAATACCTGCCAGACCTTCCAGGCAAGGAGGAAAGGCCCCTTCGCCCAGGAATCAATCACCTAACAGCCTCTAATTGTGCGTTTTCCACGGCTCCGGGAAGTTTCAGTGAAAACAAGGCAGGACAGGAGAGCAAAGCTGGAGCTGTCACTGCTGGGAGCAGAGCTGCACTGAGCCACCCTTGCTGCTCCCGGGATCTTGGCTAATTAACTGCTCCTTGAGACAGCTCTCCACTCGCAGGGTGCTGGGGGAGGCTCCCTGCAGGAATGTGTCAAGGCAGCCTCTCAGCACCCAAAATAGCTCCTGTCCTGCAGCTCCTCAGGGCAGCCGGAGCCTCCGGGGCCAGGCAAGGCAGAGCGGGTGCCGTGCCCGTGGTGCCCCAGGAGCTGACGTTTTGGGAATGTCACTGGATCCCCAGACATGGATGGGTGTGAGGGTGTCCTGCAGCCCCTGGGGGAGTCACAGCCTGGCAGAGGTGGAAAACTCAAGGGTTGAGATGCAGGCATGGCCGTGGAGCTCCTACAAACCGCACTGCTGTGTTTATCAGCGGTGCTTTCTGCCCTCCCAGCCCTTCGGGAGGGGGAAATCCTCTGCCAGATGCAAAGGGGAATCTGGGACAGGAACCTCACCGCCCTCTGGCCATACTGCTGTTGGATGGCCAAAGCAGCCCCCTGGAGAAACCCAACTTTCCAGCTTGCACTGAAAACTGCCCCAGCTGAGAGCCTGTGTTCAGACCCTGCCGGACCTTGTCCTGCCACCCCTGTGTCCTGCCACCCCTGTGTCCCATCACCCCTGTGTCCTGTCACCCCTGTGTCCTGTCACCCCTGTGTCCTGCTATCCCTGTGTCCCGTCACCTCTGTGTCCTGTCACTTCTGTGTCCTGTCACCTCTGTGTCCTGCCACCCCTGTGTCCTGTCACCCCTGTGTCCTGTCACCTCTGTGTCCTGCTATCCCTGTGTCCTGTCACCACTGTGTCCTGTCACCCCTGTGTCCTGTCACCCCTGTGTCCTGCCACCCCTGTGTCCCGTCACCCCTGTGTCCCATCACCCCTGTGTCCTGCCACCCTGTGTCCTGTCACTCCTGTGTCCTGTCACCCCTGTGTCCTGCCACCCTGTGTCCTGCCATCCCTGTGTCCCATCACCTCTGTGTCCTGTCACCCCTGTGTCCTGCCACCCCTGTGTCCCATCACCCCTGTGTCCTGTCACCCCTGTGTCCTGTCACCTCTGTGGCCACATCAGGTGGACTGAGGGCTGGGAGTGAGGGGCTCCACCACAGGAGCACAGAGAGGTGAAACCACAAGGCTGTTTCTATCCTCGTGGAGATGATTCCCCAGCTTGAATCACAGGGATGGGTTTGTGAATTCTGGGAATTACGGAGTGCAGAGCCCTGGGCAGGTCAGCCATGAGCTGCCTGGGAAGGGTGGTGGGGTGGGGAAGCAGCACCGCTGTCACCTTCTCTCAGCTCATTTCCAGGGATGGCCGCAGCCCCTTGGCTCACCCACTGGCCTGCCTTGCTCTGAGCTGTGCTGAGCTCTTTGGACACACTGAATCTGACAAAATCCAGCTTGCCAAGGAGAGAAACCTGGCTCAAAGGCTGGCCTAACCCTGCTGAGCTGCCCCATCACAGCAGGGACGGGGCTGCCACCACCCAGCCGAGCTCTGAGTCACTCTGCCAGCACTCAGAAGAACTCTAAGGCACTGTAAAGCTCAAATTAATTGTCCACACAAGCACTCTGCATTTTCCTGGTGTGTTTTAGTGCTTTTAAAAGCCTTGGATAAGTAGGTCCCTGTGCTCAAGGCCACGAGCAAGCCTGGAGGCATCGGGGGTCTGTGGCACATCCGCGTGATCCTCAGGAAATGGCTCTGCTTGTCACAGATGTTACAGTCAGAGGGAAAACACTTCAGGAAAGGCACATTTTCCTGGAGAAGAGCTGAGCAGCTCTTCAGAGCTGTGTTTGATCAGCCCCCAATGAGTTTGAGGCTGTTCATAGACAACCCCAAGTGATTTGTGTGGTCTGGGGACAGCAGGAGAAGGATGGGAACAGCCAAGGGGCTGCACCTCGGCAGGATTAGCGAGAACTCTGCCCCAAACAAGAATATTCCAGAGCAGAGAGAGGACTGGAGAAATCCCTTGCAAATGTGAAGGTGAAATACAAATAGAGAGGGGGACAAACCCTTTTTTAATGTGCAGATGATCAGAGAGCAGCAGGGAAGTGCTCAGCAAAAGGAAATAGTTTGGTGTAAGTGCCTCTCTTTGTAGATACAGCAAAGAAATGCAAGATCAGGATGAGTTTATGAGGGTGCTTAAAGGGCAGTGATCTGATGAAGAGGAGAAATGCAGAATTAATGTTCTCGCCTGGATTTCTCCACAAATTTACCACGCAAGATTTGGCTGGATGGCTCCACACCTCAGAGAGAAATTAAAGGGAATTTCCAGGGGCAGAGTGGAGCAGTGGTTGCTGCCATCACACTTTGATATGCAAAACACAGGGGCCATCAGTGCTCATGGAGGAAAGAGGTGATTTCTCCACTGGTTTTTCCTCAGTCCCAGTCTCAGGTCTGCCCTCATGGAGCCAAGGTCCCCCCAACTTCCAATTCCCACCCCAGACCTGCTCTCCATTATTGCTGAGCTCCCACTAATCCTCCCTGTTATCTGTCAGCAGCTCCCATCTCATTTATCCTACCAGCTTCCACAAACTTCTTTAATCTCAAAGTCCTGTAAACTCGAGGAAAAAATCCGATTTATGTTATGTGCTCCCCATTCCCTCCTCCTGCACCTGTGTGAACATGGATAAAATCACTATTTAATCGTGCTGGTCAAGCCTGGCTGCTCCTTCTGGAGCCTCCTGCCGGCCCCTTTGGATCAGCTATTAAAAGTTGGTGTGAAACTTGGGAATATTAAGGAGAGGAGGGAAGGATGGGAATACCTGGAGCAACCTGAGGGCAACCTCGTACCTGGAACTGTGGTGGGGGAGAAAACAGGGAGATGGGATCCACCCACCAAGGTCTCAGAATCTCCATCCCAGGAGTCTCCCGCATTCCAAAGGCACCTGGACGTGACCCAGCCCTTTCTGAGAGCTCTAAGAGGGGCTGGGGGGTCCCTTTTTCAGGAGACAAGGAAATGCCACCCCATGGGAGCTGCTGCCCACCAGGATCCCTCATCCAGCTGCTCCAGCTGGGACCAGGGCTGGGAAAGTCACGGAGAACAACACCGGCCAGAGCCAACCCTGTGGTGCCTCTCCAGAGTGGGAAAAGCTCCACCTGGATCAGTTTCAGGAAGGTTAAATTTATCCCAGAACAAGCACTTGAGCAGTTTTCAGCTCCTTTTCCCCACAGGTTTGGTTTGTTCCCCGTTCCTTCTGCAGTGCCTTGACTCACCAGCCTCTAATTATTGCCTGCAGATATAAACATGCACTTCTCCCTGGAAAAAAGTCCATTATTTTTCCCTAAAATGGAGGGCAGTCTGCAGCTGCTTGGGTAATGTGAACACTTGCAATATGTTATTAAAACAAGCTCTGTGCTCTGAGGGAGCTGCAAACGGGGCTGTCTGCACCAATTTTGGGAAGTTTTGTAATCCCAACCCCGAGTCTGAGGAACACCAGACTCTGTAATTTTCCAGCACTAAAATCAAGGAGCCGGGGACAATTCCAGAGCAGAGTTAATCCCTCTTGCAGCCATTTGGAGCAGGAGGGGAAGAGCAGAGGCATCAGGGAGCCCTTTCAGGTTTCACAATTATCTCAAATCGCTCGAGCTTGGTCCCTGTGGAGCATCAGCAAACTCAAAGCCCAAAGGCAGAAGAAGTTCAGACAAAAGGCAGTTCCCACCGCGTCCTCGCACCTTTCAAACATCAGTACCTGCCACATTTCAAAGCTGTGATGGTGACTGGATTAAACCACCTGCAACAAATCATCCTGATGTAATTTCAGTATTTTAAAAAAAATCCTTGTGGCATTGTTGGCCATGAATAAAAAGTTATGGGAGGAAAGGTTACGTTGAAAGCAAAATTATCATTGTGGCTTTCCTTGATTAAATTCTTGCAGCATTTGAGGAGCCCTACTCCAGTTGAAGGCTTAATTTTTGAAAAAATAGCACTTTGATAGGAAAAAAAAAAATCTAAAAAGTAGCTGGCTCTAATGTTGGAGAACCCATAAAAGTGCAGGAAAATAAAGTGCTGATATTAATTTTAATATATAACCTATTAAATAGAAGCAATAAAATGTTAAACTGAAATAAAATATATTATTATTATTATTATTATTAGCATAAGGAAGAACAGCCACAGCAGTGTTGGATATTCAGGAAAGGGTAATCCCAGATTGGTTTGGGTTGGGAGGGACATTAAAGCTCACCCAGTTCCATGGGCAGGGGCACCTTCCACTAGCCCGGATTGCTCCAAGCTCTTTGCTGAATCAAATTCCAAAATCCCAACCGACCCTTCCCAATCATTTATCCCTGGGGGGGTTGGTGGTGACACCGGGGAAGGGCCCCTTGCAGCCACCCCGAGCTCATCCTGGTGAAGTTATGGAGCTGCCACCGACCCTTGGGACACCCAGAGATGTTTTCTGCTCGAGGATTGGGCAAGACAGATCCCAAGGACTTTATGGCTGTGTTATTTATGAGCCTTTCCCATATTAATTCCTAGCCCTGGTATTATTGGAGCTGGGATAATAACAGTTTGTTGTGTTTGATTAGACTGTTCGGGCTCTAATCAGACTAACAGTAAATCCCTGGCTCCACAGGAACATTCCCATTCCAGCCCTAATAACAATTGGGGTCTGACAGGCAGGGAAGGGGCAGCCACAGCTCTGGGCTCCCTGCAGAGCCAGGGAGAAAGGAAATCCTCAGGGACCTCCTCATGGCTTTGAAACAGAGAATCCAGGCCAGGAAAACGTGTGACCATGGCAGGGAAGGGAGGCTGAGGACAGCCCTCAGCCCTGGGCATGGAGGCTGCTCCTCCCTGCAATCATTACTGGTCACGACCTCAATTAACAGCCATTCCAGCAGAACTTCCAGCTGCACAATTAATGACAAGTCAGAGACAGCTCAAGTTGTCTCACCCAAACTGAGGATGCTCCTCTTGCATTCCCAGAGCAGCCAAAACATAGCACGGGCTTTATTCCCTGCCTGGGAAGGAACAAGAGGTGCTTCCAGGTGGGAATCTCCTCATTTAACCCCTCAGATCAACGAGTGCCAGGAGCCAGGGGCACTTCCCAGAAAGGGCTG